AGAGGAGGCTGGTGGGGCCCCAGAGCCAGTCTGGACGCAGAGGCTAGAGGAAAAATCCTCTGCCCCCGTCGGGGATCAAACCCCGGTCGTCCAGCCCATAGCTAGCCACTATACTGACTGAGCTATCCCGGCTCATAATATAAATACAAGTAAGCAAACTAACTCCATGGTGCACAGGCCTTCCTGAGAAGCTGATAGTAGCTAATCTGGTCAAGAAATTCCACACCTTTCAAGGAACTAAAATGTTCATTAACATGTTCACAAAAACCTACCACATATTCAACTGACATTGTACTCTTATCCAAGTATTATTACAATTATCAATTAAAGAGGATGAGATGTATGAGCCATGTAGCATTCATAGGGGAAACTAGAAATATGTAAAGAATTTTAAATGGAAAGCCTGAAGGTAATATACATTTTAAGAAATACAAAATAAGACTTGTAAAAATATGTTACTTTCATATGAGGAATAAAAGAGTAATGCAGCAAAAATGTTAATTTAATGTTTCTACAACAGGTCTACACATATGACCTTTCCACTTTAACATATGTTCTAACTACTTACATAGAGAAGTTTCATTCCGAATATTTTCAAAAAGTATGTTCAACGTCTGTAGTAACTGAACACACACGTAGCTGCCACATTTCTGTTTCATTATCTTCAAGAAGAATGAAAGCATATTCTTCTCCAAAAAGAAACTATAGAACAAAGAAATTTACAATATAATTTTCTTCCATTGTAAATACAATCACAATAAACCAGAAAAAAAGTTATGTAATGCCATGACACAGACAAATTACTCCAGAAGAACAAATGTCCAAGGGTCATTAAAAATGAATGGCAACACTAGCTTAACACTATAAAAATTATTGTACAAAGCTAACACTTTACAACCCTTCAATTAAGTCTTCTGCATGGTTGTACATATTGCTACAGATCTGAAACATGTATGATGCCATTAACAGTGTACCTTCTCATTATGGCACATGATTCGGAGCAATGTCATGCTGCACAACAGGGCTTGACTCCAGAAGAAATGGTCTTATGATGTAGTACAGGGCACAAATGGTGTTCCAGGAACTTAATAATACACAACATTTAAACTGTAACTAAGCAAAGGGGTTGCAAATATCAGGAGAATGCCCTTGTAACTGTAGGCATGAGATTCCAGGCTCTCAGTACCAAAAAAGATGGTTTAAGTATTAATCAGATCTTGCAGTTTTGTTAAATATGGTCTGCCCATCTACCAAAGTTTAATAAAAATATACACTATAAAAACAAAAAAATTCTTGTAACATTCCTCAGTATTTACATGTTTATACATCATATAATCTGTACACAAAAAGTGGTAATATGAAGTGGGGGAAACAAGCTTAAAACGTGGATATATGGGAGGTTACTTACTCAAATACACTACTATCATTCTGATCACCCCAGATGAGTATTTCTGCAATTGACCTCAATGTTTCAACCAGGAGTCCACGGTTGTTCTCTGACACAATCTGATTCTTTGATAAGACGTTATACAGGTACCTGAAAAAAGTATTTTACATTCCAGGCCATAAGAAATATAGTCTTTCATCACCATTAAATATAACAATAGTTTACAATTTACTCACTTCAAATGCTCCAAGGAATGCGGATTTTTGGGTTTCCACAATCCGCTTCCAAACCAGCTTCTACTTCGAAACATGGCTGCTTATTTCTACCACAAGTAACAAAATTAAAAATTATACTAGTAATATTTCTCTGGTAACAATTTGTCATGACTGCACATAGAAAGTAACCATAACTACTTCGGTTTAAAAATAACAATACAACAATGTCAACAACCGGAAAAATACCCAACGACTTCGTTTAATTATACTGCAAAAAATTAATCCATCTGGTGTATTAACGACAAATCTTATTCGCATATCCACAATGTAAAAACATCTTGTGTTGAATAGCTCACAACCATTTTTGCGTTCAGATCACTTGACTGTCTATAGCACGGATCACACACAATGGCACGGTGTACTTTGTAGAAATGTGTAACTCTGTGTCAGAGCATTGTATTGTTCTTCAATCTGTCAGACTTTGTGTGAAGGTGATTATTGCTCAGCCAACAAATTAATCGCAAACTTTGTAATCACAGACAATACCCCACCATGGTTCTTATGGGAAATCAGGATTACTAATACTTTATTTTACACATTCTTACGCGCCTTGGCAATTTTCCAATTAGTCTTCTTTTCTGTGATCTGTGGAAATATGAAACATATCTGTAAATAAAAAAAGAGGCAGGAGCGAAATAGAAGTGGATTGTTGACTCATTACCTGATATTTTAACTGTTCGTTATAACGATGAAGGTTTTAGAATTGTACAGTGGTATAGGTGGAATGCATTTTGCATTTAAAGGTCAGATATATGATCTCGTATGAAATATATGTACTAAATTTACGTAACATAACCAAACTTCCAAATAACAAGTTAGATGTACTTGGCATGAAAGTGCAGTAGTCACAGTATTGAGCACAATATCAGATTTCGGAAATCGTCTTCCCATTAATAAATAGTTTGGATTAGGTCAGGTTAATTTAGTTCCTCTCAGTAGCGATAGTTTGTCTTAAACATGTTGAACACTACATGCACAAAATATGCTACCACACAATAATTCTGAACCAATTTTAGAAAGTTCTGAATTAATGGAGTAATTTTAGCAATTATAATTAACTTTATTTTACTCACATGAATTTTAGATTTGTTAATTGATACTTTTTATGTATAGTTATTCCTACCAGAATGTTTATGATTTCTCATACATCAGGAGACAAAAATATTCATAACGACTGGGGTAACAAAATTACAAATAATGTTGGGTCCTCAAAAGTAGTGGACCGATGTATAAATACAAAAATAATTCAGTATTGAAAAGTTCACTAAGCAAATTGACACTGAAACTTTCTCAGAAATTAATACATGTTTCCATCCATTAATAATTAATATTTCAGAAAGTGGTATTCCTGGTGAAGTAAAGGTAGCTGTGGACATCAACACCATAGCTAATAAAGTGTATCAGCATAATTTTCCCAATACAAAATTATTACAAAGAAATATTAAGTCTTTTTCAGCAAATGAAATAAATGACAGTGGTATTGATATGATTCTTATGAGCCCTCCATGTCAGCCTTTTACAAGGTAAGGATTCACACTGTTTTAGGTTTCATAAAATAAAACATTCCAATAATAATAATAATACTTTATTTTCTGTAGATCAAAAATACATTGATATAGGATATATCTATATTATACATTGTCAAAATACAATAATGATTATGATATAATCCCATTGGAGATATAGCATTATATACATTAGATAATCAGTAGCCAATATTCAAAAACTCTTCATTAAGATAAGTCTTCTAGTGAATAGTAACACCCCTTAATAAGAAAGTCCTTCAATTCCTTCTTAAACTGGTTATTTTTGGTTTTATTGTGGCAGGCAGTTTGTTATAGAAGACACAACCTGCTACTGACGGTTTACTGTTATAAAGTTCCAGCTTGTGTACATATTTATGATCGTCATTATTATTTCTTGTATATGTATATACTTGTTTACAGTGCAGACACACTTTTCTTTTGCATATAAAATGGTTTCTTGAATGTATAACTAGTATACTGTTAATATCTTTAAATGCCTAAAACTATCTCTGCAAGATTCCATTGGTTTTAAATCTGCTGTGTACCTTACTGCCCTTTTTTGAAGAGTAAAAATTCATCAAGTGAGTACTTTAGCACTCTGTCCCCATACGACAATGCGAATATATTACATGACTTACTTTTTTTCAGGGTTGGTTTGAAAAGAGACATGTCAGATAACAGAACTTCTTCATTTATCCACCTTTTAAGTCTTCTTCCACACCTTAATAAGAAGTGGAAATATTTAGTTGTTGAAAATGTAAAAGGCTTTGAGAAATCTGAAACTTGTCAACAACTAATTCACACTCTGGAAAATTTGGACTTTTGCTACCAGGAGTTTATTCTTAGTCCATCCATGTTCTCAATTCCCAATACACGGCATCGTTATTACCTCATTGCAAAGAGAAGGCCTCTTTATTTTAATTTTCCATTGCAGCCTCATGTTGTAAGTAAATTACTGTAACAATTTTTTTATTCAGTGTACAGATTCCAGCCTTTGATTGACATGACCTGGAAGTCAGAATGAGATATATAAGTAAGCCAGACACATTTTAAACATCATTACTTGCTCCTGGGGTCAGGCATTTGATTTGTATACCTTGGAATCATTATAATAGCTGTAAAGTCTGTAAGAACTGTGATGACAATGTTAAGTCCTGAGTGAAGTATTAACAGAATGAGGGGACAGCATAACTGTCACCTTCTATTCTAGCATTTTTCATCATTTCTGACCCCATAATTCTTTGCATAAATAATTAACAAATATCTTTAATTTGTTTCATTTTACTGATAGAAATATCACCAATTACACACACGCACAAATACGTGTGTGTGTACACTGCTTCTTGTTTACAGTTGTAAACTGAATGAGTTTGTCTTTTTGTACCTAGATGGAGAGCCTACCAGTTCCTTTACACACCACCAGCAGCTTTACAGATGCAGCATATGAGATGTCTGCATTAAATTCAAAGCATAAGTGTCTAGTTGAAGAAAATCAAATGGCTTCTGAAGGGACATGCTACTCTTTGAACCACATTTTAGAAATAAATAAATCTCTGGAGTACTTTGAACAATTTAATGTACCAGACAAAATATTAGGGAAACATGCATGGCTTCTGGACATTGTTGGTCCAAACTCAACAAGATCTTGCTGTTTTACTAAAGCATATGGACGTTATGTAGAAGGAACAGGTTCTGTATTTTCCCCGACATCACCAGATATAATCACCAATGCATTTGAACAGAGTCGTTCACATGTTCCAGGTAGTCATGAGCAGTTGGAACTTTTACGGGGACTTGCGATGCGTTACTTCACACATCGTGAGGTGGCAAGACTTATGTGCTTTCCTGACCAAGGTTTTAGTTTACCTAATGATGTCACAATAAAACAGTCATACTGTCTTCTTGGCAATAGTGTCAATGTGCATGTTGTTGCATTATTAATTCTCCTTTTGACCACAGGAGACAACACTGTGTGTTGATTATACTTTGGCTGAAAGATAGGATTGGTATGATCTCTGGCATTTTCATTATTCATAAGTAAAAATGTAATGTACTATAACATAATAAGAATTCTGGGTACTAAGTTTTAACAAATAAAATTATTTTACATCATGCTTTCCATACCAATTAGTCTGTAATTTTGCTGCCTGAAGTGATGAATGAAGATGCACCTAAATTTTTTCTGTATTAGTTTTTATATTTATACTGAATTCTTTTATTGTAAATAAAAACCCTGCTTTCATTAATGATACCAGTGTTGTTTAAATTACTAATAGAATTAACCTGTGCTCTGCATCCATTAGTGCAATGAAAATGACAAAATGAAACAAAATTACATTAAACACGTTCAGTAGAAGAAATACATTGCCTTAAAGACTTCCTATTTATGATAAATGAATTTTCATGAAAGTGTTTACCTGTAGTACTTTAGGCATTGTTGATTTATATTTCAAACTAGTATTTCACAGACCTTGACCTACAGTTAATGAATTGGTAAGTAAATCAGAATACTCTGCCTGAATGCAGTGGAATATCCTTATTGCTGATTAGCTTTGTTAGCATAAAATTTTAGACCTGCCACTTATCTATGAACAGCAGATCTGTATGTGCAATACATGAACTTCACAACCAACTAGGGATGCCAAATGGTATAGAATGTCTTGGAAAACTTTACTCATCCATGTAAAAAGAGCATTTTGTTGTGGGTAGCATGGCAGAAACAACAATGTAGCGTCAAGATGATAACATGTTCTTGCTCACATGGAAACATTTCATAGCCCTAGCTTCAAGTAATTCCAGCCCTATATAAAAATATGGGCCATTCCAAACATTCATTGTAGAATAAATACAGTTTTCATTTCAAGCAGAAATTTCAATTTATTGCCTCCATTTCTGGTGGTATTGGTATTTTCTTAAGAGCTGCAAATTTTTTCAGTGCTTCATATTTGGCATATAGAGCTTCAACTTCATCTTTCATCCTGTTGTTATCATCCTGCATAGCTTCCATATCTCTATATTCTTGTGACTTCTCTGTCTCCAGTTCATCCTTCTGTTCGATTCGTTTTATACGACAGCTGAAAAGTAACAATTACATTTGTAGGACTCGAGGTTTTCACAGATATATGCATTTAGAACAAGATCTTCTACAGTGGTATGCTATGTAGTATTCTGGTTATATACCAACAGAGCTGGATATGGCGATGAGACTCTGTGACCCTAGTTTCAACAGAATGTCCCTTGAGACAGAAAGATGGCCACTTTCCCATCTGGGATAGTGACATCTACAGAAGGCTCAATGGCACTTTGAGTAATACATTATTCAAAAACACTTCTATTTGAATAGCAGAGTGCATCACCATTTAGTCAACAATCACTTTATGCTTTTCACCTTCAAACACAGTCAGGCATATGTGCATTTGTCAATTTACAATGGACAAACTTACTGTTATGTTGAAACAAAGATCGAAGTACACCACTTCCGTATTTGGATCACCATCAAAAGACGTCATCCATGGCTAAACACAGTACCAAAGACTACTTCCAACACTGTCAAATCATTATATGACATTTATTGTAGAATAATATTACTAACCTTGCTGCATATCCTCTGTTTTTAAGAGTTCGTCTTCGTTGTTTCATGCGAACTATTTCATCCCTAGTCAATCCTCTCATCTTCAGCTGGCGATTGAGATCTCGAACAGAGATTGAAACTAGCTCATCATCACTGATATCAAGTACAGGCCCTGGGGAGAGTGGTGCCTGGAGGAATAACAACATGAAGAAACATATAGAATTCTGCAACTATTATAATAAGTTAACAGTTCCAGATTCTGCATTCCCACTTTTCCTTCCATGGTATGAGAATTAAAAAAGACTGGGCATAGTACAGTAATCTACAAATCAAATAATACAGAATGTGTGAAATACAATTTCTGAAGTAAAAAAGAGGTCATATATAAATAAAATAATAAACATTATTAATGTTTAGTCAAAATTCTGATCGTGTTTATCACAAATAGCCTGAATGTTCTGCCACTCTTGGATTAACGGAAGGAATATAAGCTGAGGAGGCTGAAGTATAAGACAACACCAACATTAGAGCGCATTCACTGATAAAGTTGAAAGGAACTGTCAGTTCCTGGCTCCAGGCAGAAATTGCTTTAAGTGTTGATTTTGTTGTTTCTATGCATCAATACTTAATTCTTGTTGGGAAAACCTTCTAGCACTTGGCAGTGAGTCATACAGTTCCAGCTACTTTCAACTTTATCAGTGAACACAACGTACTACATACAGAAGCCCTGTTCATTTGCTGGTATTACCGTATTTTAATACGAGTACTATTTTCATCTGATGACAGTAAATACGACTTAATAAATAAGCAAATGCCCTTCATTTACAGTGATTTTTAACTGTTATGTTTCCTTCATATCTACGCCGTTTATATTAATCCACGAGATAATGCCCAAGTCCTCTGTGCTTTAACCTATTATGAAATTGTGCACAAGGCTTCCTTTCTTCATCCTCCCACCTCTAACCCTGATGACAACCAAAAACGCCAATATGGTGTTGCAACAAATTCGAAAATACATCACCAATGAAAGTGCTACTTTTGAATTTCATACACCAATATCCACCAACATGCTACTGTTGAGTAGTGTTACATTACGTGGCTGGAGGTTCAAGTTTTTAAGACGAATTCTTAACAAATGGTACAAAGTTCTCACTCACCTGACTACCATGACCGTTTTTTCTGTCGCCTTTTTTACCTTCTGGAGGCATTGTTAAATTCTCGCCCGCTTTCAGAGCGAAGTTTCTTGCAGTTCTAGTGCAACAAAGCACAAATATTGCTTAGTCATCATAACACGAAAGATGGGCCACACGAACTTCATGTTATGAAGAGGTACTGCAGGTTTAACTTTGTATAGTCAAAAGGTTAGTCATAAGGTATTTAACATCTTCAAATAAATTTGTTGCTACAGTATTTCATTTACACAGATCAATAATAAATTATCCGTTCAGTTAATAAAATATTTGCTTCTACCACTAACATTTAAAAACACTCATTTACGATAAAACCAAGGAAGAATGAATCACGCACAGATGAGCTAAATAATCACAGATATTATGCAACTTTTCTTCGTTGTGATAGCGGAACATTTGAATAACTTACAAAATGGAAATTGAAGTGCCCATCGTTATTGAGAATAAATAATCTATTGGGTGTGAAAAAGAATATGACTATTTTCTTTTACATTTTTACGATTATACCTGGTCAATCTACGACAAGGGACAGTATTCTGAGTCTACTTAATGTTAACTCAGATGCTGTAATTGGGTAGTAGGGTATTGAGGTATTCCTGCAGACAGAAGCCATACTTTCACTGTCATGACACTTTGCCCAGGCAAAAAGATAATTTTACCTTCATCTTCACTTCTGCAGACACTTTCCAGTAGACCCATGGAAGTCCCATATCCACTACATTAATTCACATGCATATGTTTCTATACACTCAACTTTTTAAAATTATAAAATCAAATATGCAGCAGTTCCTCCATCATCAACAGTTATGCCCGTCGTCTGAAATTCATTATCAAACAACACTTCTTCAATATCCAACATATTTATTGCACCCTTCTTGTAAAGATCAATGATTACTATAAGTAATGGAGGTGCATTATTACTCTACTCCAAAGATGACCGTGTGAAGGTATACAATTTAGGGAAGGTCTCTTCCTAGCTACAGAAGTCCTCAAATGTTATCATAAGCTTCTACAGTTTGTAATTTCATGAATACAAAAAACAAACTATTTTGTTCAATGTTTCAAGTCAGACATAATAGGACACATAGAGCATACCACTTACACAATCAAACCTTTGTGGTGTCAACTGTCATTTACTGATTCCCTCCATCAAAGTAAACTGAGAGAGTACCCTACAATATTGAAAGCACATTTCGAAGCTCAGTAATTTCAATAATTACATTTTATCAAGTACAAATGCTGGTGTTTTTAGAATGTACTTTCTATGCAGGCAAATGATTTGTGCAAGAGGAGTTCACTGTTTCCAAATACAGGACCCATTGCACCAGTCATTGTGTACAGCTTCTAATGTATGAGACTACACTGCAGCAAAAATGATACTTAGTGCACAAATGATGGGTTGGAATAAAGAAAATCTTGCTGATTGATACTAAAATTAACACATAATAACATTAAAGTCAGCTTCTACACTTTATAATCTAAGTTAGACTCATTTTGTATTTTTATAATAAGAAATAACAACTGTGAATGAGAGGTGAAATAAAGGTCGTTGGCTTGGGAGTAAGATGCATGGTTCTTCTTACGTTCTTCTGCGACAATTGTGGTTGTTTTATTTTATTAATATTTTTACTTTTTAAATTGTTTAATGATTCAACCTTGCTAAACATAACATTTTCCTGAAAAGATTTTACTTATGTCAGCATCAGTACAATGAAGTTATTAGTACAGGAATAGGTTTGTTGTATAACTGCACAGTTATTATGACGGATGTAACATCACATTTTGCATTACAATGACTGTACTAAATTTTATTTTAGTGTTAAGATTAAGTTACTGACAAGCAAAAAGAAAAAAACAATTTCCAGTCTTTCATACATTACTGGTACTTGTAACACACCATTACTTATTTTGAGAACAATTTCACATTATAAATATATGAACTCTTAAAACATGTTTGATTTATTATGTGATGTAATTATGCACTACATTTACGTCCATCTTCTTTTTACAATATATGCAAACAAGTGATAATCACATATAAATGCAGTAACTACTGCTTTCATATCTAGCATAGGTAATGTCAGTACAGTTAAGATTCATTCATTCTTCATTCAATATGCAACAGAATGAACACTAAACAGATACCTATATTTAGTGACTGACATGGTGAACTAGTCAAAGCTAATCAATTCTGCTGTTTGCTGCTGTTGCTGAGAGCTTCCTGGTGTAGGGCCTTGGGGAGGTTGGGTCTCACCTGATGGCATCATCACTCCTCCTGGAGAATAATGTGAAACTTGTGGTCCCTGAGCACCAGCAATTGGCTGCCCTGGCACAGGCTGATTTTGTGGTACTGCTGTTTGACCGGGAGGACCCTGCATTTGTAGTGGAGGTCCCTGGCTCTGAGACCCTTGACCTGGTATCTGTTGTGGTCCCTGATGTTGCATCTGGGGTGGATGAACCTGGCCCTGAAGTTGATGGTGCCCTTGGCCTTGCATTTGAGGAGGTCTCTGAACCTGCATGGGGCCTCCTTGTACATGTGGTGGTACCTGCACAGGCCCTTGGGGCAACTGTGCTGGGCCTTGTCCTTGTAACTGAGGACCCTGAACTGGGCCTTGAATAGGTGGTCTCTGGCTCTGGATAGGCCTTGGAGGGCCATGCACCTGTCCAGGAATTGGTACGGGTCCCATCACAGGACCTGGTACCATGCCCCTAGGAAGACTATGCATTGCGCCTGGTGCTGCAACAGCTGGAATATGTCCTTGAGGTATATGAGGGACAGGGCCTCCTGGGATTGGCCCCTGTCCAGGAAGTGCTTGCACATCTGAAATCAAAGTGGTTATCCCTGATAATTAACTAAGCACCACACCATGCACATGCATAGGGGGAATAAAAGTAGAGCTATAATCATTCTTAACTTCCTCACTAGTTAAATGTTGGCTTCATGTCCCAGCTGCTTTGCCCATAAGGAAAGAACTGCTGTACCCACTGAATATGAGGCTGGGCATACTCCACAGCCAGTAAAGGGGGGAAAAATCCTGCTTGCCAGGAACTAAATGCTGGTCATCCATCCCATAGTCTAGTCACTACACTGATGCCATCCTATTATAAGATATTAAATGATTTAAGTTGTGAAGAAACACATTTATTATACTTGTGAACAAAACCAAGTAAGTGTGCCAAAAGAAAAAGAGCGAAATATTTACAATGACACTTGCAAGCTAGAAAGTATACACTCACTGGGTACAGAGTATAATCCTGAGAAGTCTCTGTAGGTGGTGGGTCCAGCACTTGTAGCAGCAGATTGTAACGAAGTAAAGGAGTTGGGACCTGGCACTGTTGAGAACTGATTTCCATGCACAGGTGATCCATCTGCACTTGCAGGTCCAAAACCTGGTCCATGACCTAATCAACAGTTATGACAAAAATATTATACAGTGAATCGCCATATTATTCATACATAATAACAGATGTGTATTCCTATAACTACCAGACATTTTTCATTCACTTTGACAATCTGCATATTATTCCATGGTAATATATTAAAGTTCCAAGACAGAACAGACATGGAACTTTATATTAACACCAGGCAATGTGCCAAACAGAAATGAAATTCAGTCTGAATTCATACCGTTCTCACATTCACTGTCAGAACAGGCAATTCCACACTATCAGAAAAGTGACATATTATTGTGTGTTAATAGCAAGGATTGAGATGAAGAGGCCTCACAAAGAAATTTTAATATAAATACACTCCCTTTCAACTTCCCATTTTTTACAATTTCAATGTAATATCGAATATGGATTATGTAGCCAAAGGGAACACAAAATACAGTTTTACTTGCTCTATGTATGATATTCACTTCTGTATCATTTCCAACTTCCAAGACAATTTTCTTCTTCCCAAGGTATTTCAACTTACTTTTACCGAGAATCAGAAAGAAATGTCTGTTTTGTGCATTAGTTTAGTAATACATCAATAATTCCATTAAGCACAAATACAATGAAATATTAATTTGAGATTCTTTTAGGATACATTGTACTTGAGCTGGGATCATAAAAATTAAATTATAATCAAATAAATTTTTTACAATAAGAAATCTTAAATTCAGATTTTGCTATATTATGTGCAGCATTCATGAACCTGGCATATATGGTGGTTGCATGTTGTAAGGCATAGATGAACCCATAAGGTATTGTTGCTTCTGCTGCTCCTGCCTTATCTGCATCTCTCGTTCCTGCTCTTGTATTCGCTGAAGTGCAAGCTGACGCTGGTACTGCAACACCACCAACAAAACTTTAATATCAACAGACAAAATAAAGCATCCCTTTCTGACATCCAGAGTCAGGGGTACAAAACATATTCAAGCCTAGAAGAATAAATAAATGCACAAACTGCCACTGAGACTAGACAGAAAAACTATATTAAAATAAAAGACAATACGTATATATAAACTTTGTTAAAAATATCCCCTTAACAAATTAAAATGTTTCAATACTATGGTGTTCACTGTATGGAGGTTTTCTTATATTTGGAACTAAAACATGGGCATGGGTCAGTACAAAGTCAATACTTTCACTCTGGATAACTGAAATTCATTTGGCCATGTAACTAAGCGTGCATCAATCGCAAGTGTATGAAGTTTATGTCTCTTAGTTTCTACACATGTCATGCTGACATCAGATTTGTCATGATTATAACTAACTTTGAGATTGATACATATATTAAACTGTAATTTTTATTGTTATTTATGTCACACACAACCTCCATTCCATTATACATGGAATAGTAAAGGGTAATCCAAGAGTGTAACACAGCAAATTTTGAAACTTCATGATGTTATAAGTGTTTATTTCACTACATATACTAATATTCTGATTCTGTTAAACTTACAGAAATAAGCAAGGGCACACACATTCTATTTCATGAAATTTCATAATAGGAAAGGAATTTACAATGTGCATATAGACACAGGGATGAAGAATGGAAATTATCTTATAAAAGTGAGTGTATCCTTTCAAAATGTATTGTACTGACATTTCATTGTATAATGGAGTCATATTCTGCAATGGTTTCTATCTCAAGTTATACGGAACATACTACAGGTAGTTTGCAAAACTCAAAATCACACATGCAATTGGACTGAATGTTATGAATGGAGCACATTTGTGCAATATGGCTACTGACACTTACTTGCAAGTATTCCTGCTTTTTCTTGCGCATAATCTGCAGTTTGTGTGCCATCTGCATTTGTCTAATCCTCTCTGCCTCCTCAGCCTGGCGGCGCAGTTTTTCATGATGCTCTTCTCTCAAGGCATCCAATGCTGCACGGGCATCCTTAACCTGTGCCAGTTTATCTTGAAGTCCTTCATAATATACTGAAACAGAAATGAAGAAATAAATATCAATTTCATTTTTAATGAGTCCTCTTTTCCTTATGATGTTTGCAAATTAGAATGTACCTATGTTTAAGCATAAGGAGGCCAAGGCTCAACTTCAGGCTGTCACGCCATAGAATAAGATGTTTAAGCATATGCTTTATGTTCTCATTGTCACAATCTGATTCTTAAATCTTCTTTCTAGAATTATTTGTTTTCTATTTCACCAATTTCCACATACACTCATACCAAGTGTCACATAAACTATTAGGACTAATTACATCATTATACATTCATTATTTGTATTTTCCATTTGTAATTCTGTGATCACACTGTAAGATTACAGTTCAGATGTGATCATTATTTAACGAGTGGCTTCAAATTTCCAGACAAATTACAAAATTATAAAAGAATATACAACAGAGGTGCAGGAACTGAGTACCTTATACTCACCTCTGCTATCATCTTGCTGTTGAATGTGCTTCAACAAACGAGAATGCATTGCTGTAATATTCATGAATAGTGTCTGGACAGAGCTGTCATTTGCAATGCTCCGTCCCCTACTAGAATTGGATTTCATTCGGTTCACAAAGATCTCCACTTGTGTTTTCAAGGTTGTTACAAATTCTTCCATCTCTGTATCTGTCTCCCCATTCTCATGACGATGCTGCTGACACAACAGAAAACAAACTTTCAAATGTCAAAACCAAAAACCACAATAAAACATGCATCCTAAGTTATCAAAACTGTGATGTGCAGTGAGACTTGAAGGTCTATTTAAATAAATCAATCAATCAACAAACACATTCTCAGGTCATTATACACAGACAGATACCGAAAAGCCAACAGGCACATTTTTGCAACTTTTAGTTGTGAATGATTCTAAACATGAAAACGCAGAATACAACTGGGTAACACAGACCATTTAGAAACATAAATACGCCTGGCTCCAACAATGTGGCAAGATATACTAATGGTCATCCTACTATGCTTAAATGTAGTTCAAAATGTTAACTAAACATATGGTTTTTATATACTTTTACAGAGTCAACACAGAACCCAGATGATAAAAAAGTTAGCGTACATTACAACATTTAATATTAATTTTTGTATGATACTTGCGTATCTGGTGACAATATTAATGAACATTTATATGATGCTTTTGGAACTTCCTTAGAAAAGCCTTGAAAAGGTAAGAAACAAAACCAAAGCACCTGACCAATAGAATACATAGTGTTAACTGCTGGTGTGTTGACTAATACAAACACTGCTTGAATACCCACTCACAAGTTTGCTTGATGCAGTTGTAGATGACATGGGTGCAGAAGGTTGTTGACTCAATGGACTGTCCACCCGACTACCATTCCGATCTGATGTATGATGTTGTTGCTTCTCATGCTGATGTGCTTCTTCAGACTGACGCTGCTCCCAATATGAACGATTCAAATAGCGTGCAAGTTCTGGGTCTACATCATCATCTGTCAATGTCTGCTGTTGACTAGGACTGCCACCAGCAGTGTCCTAAAATAAAAAAACATCAATCTGAAACTATTAATGTCTGTCAACATGTCTTAGCTGGAACGTTAGTCAGAAAGTTAATAGAATTCATGTTGAATTCTTAATAGCCCTCTGTTCATATCCCACATAGCTACATCCATACAAAAGTGGAATGTGCAGGTTTGGATGGATAGTGGATATACTAATACATGACAATAAAGAAGCTCAGGAAGAAATAAAAGCATTTAGGACATTCAAGTCACATAGTTACATGAACATAATGTGACAAAATGCTGCACATTTTTCAACATCTTGAACTGGTATTTGCCCAAGAGTTTGTCTAAAATTTTTTCCCCAAATAATATAATTATGATTATGTAGTTGTTATTGGGTTTTATAATTAACTGAGATGTATTTTCATGAATGCTGTTTCTTAACCTAAGTGAGAATGATTACCACAACTTAAAGTATGCAGAATTACAGAAAGGCACAACAAAAGTTAACTATCATATCACTTATGTCATTTGTAGTAACATAACTTCATTCACACCTGCTCCTTCCCTTCAATTCCAGCTCTCACACAGAATTGTCTAATATAAGACATACATATTTACTATCCATACTGTGTATGAGAAACAGAGGCACTTACAACTGCAGGTGGAGGGGAGTATTGTTTGGCACGATTTGTACTGCTGGGACCAGACATCATGGCTGATGTTGTTCGTTTCTTCTGCCAAACAAACATATAAAACACATGTACAATATACAACTAACTACTGATAGAAACAAATTGTAATTCATATAATAAGATCAGCACCAGACAACACAAATTCAAGAATCAGAGATTCAATTTGTATTACTTACAAAAAAAATGTAAAAATACTACATAGAAACTATAGGCCAGAGATAACTGTATAGATTGAAAATCTGCAAAGTCAGTGAATAATATACTCAACAGTCAATTCCCATTTATACACAGGAATGGGTGGAGAAGTATTGGGAAACATCCTATTTCTGTAATTACGTCCTGTTTTCTATCATATTGTGATTGAAATCATAAACAGGACAGGCACCTTGACTTGGGTATTAGGGATATGAGTGACAATTTTAAGATTATTCTGGAAACCTGAAAAGCAATAAGCCAAACTCCAAAAAAACACTACACAAGCATATCAATAATATGCGTAAACATGTGTACAGCATATTACAAATAAAACTAAAAGAAAAGTGATAATTTACTCAAAATGAGATATTAATAAAGTTTCCACTACCAATATCACATACATATTCACACCTTCCTTTATAGTGTCTGAAAATTCACTCCAGTTTACAAACATCCAACATAAATACCTAAATGTGTTCAAATTTTACATACTTTGTTTGGCAATGTCACCATAACTGTAAGCATCAATATATTTGGCAGTGTTTCGGTTGATGTAAGCATGATTTCTATTGTTTTGCAGTTAACCAGTAACACACAAATAGAGGCTTGAACACAACGTATATATTACTAAAATAACTCCAGCAGTTCAGGAACAATAATGTAATTATGAAAGCTAATAATCCACAAAATCCAAGAATGCTTTCCAAAGCTGCGTATCTACTAATCATGCACTGCTCTTCAGTGATCAGTATGTAATGGAAAACAAACAAGAAACGGAGTAGTTCATTTAACAGGGCAGAATGGCAGATGTTCATAAGGATCAGTAGCACAAACAATATGAATACTGTCATTATCACCTCTTTCTCTTTGTGTTCCGCTTCTGACTTGGACAGCGCCAGTGCCAGTTGCAGCTCCTCCTCTTCTCTGAGTTCATCCTCTGACTTACGTGGGGGACTCTGCCCACAACACAAATCCACAATGTGCACACACACATACAAACATATAACGCCATTTTACACAAACACATATTCATATGACACAAATGTAAGGGCACGTTCCCTCATCACAATAATAAAAAAGTTAATATAAAAACTGGTTCTAAAAGCCTTCTCTCCAAGCTATAGCCCTCTTCTCTTTTCTGAACTTTCACTGCTTCCCCTCTGTACTCAGAACAGAATTTTTATAGCAAGTATAAAAAACGTGTAAAGAAGGACTTTCTGCCTCCATTATCTGGGATAATGATGTACAAACCTTCCCATCATATTATACCCAGTTAGATCTTGGAGCTCAGTGCCCTTGTCTAAGAACAGACGAACAGGGAACAGTGGGCAGCAACAGGTGGTCGGTTGTAACATTGTCCGTTTTGCTTAACCTGAACAATATAGGATGCTAGATGTTGTTGATCTCAACTTCTATTTGTTTTTGATGATACTTCTTCATTGGAGTGTACTTCAACATACTCCAACATGTTCCCACACACTTGTTGAGTGTCTTGAAACAAGTTTCATAAACCCACACCTTTTTCTCAAGGATCAGTCCTGGAACCTGGCAGAGTTCTTCTTGACAAGCCTATAGTTATTCAAATACTTCAAGAACTTCCCTCCCTTTTACGTAACCTGAAGTTTGATTACAATGTTCACAAGAACCTGCCACTGGTCCATATTCTGAGCTAGACAAATCAAATACAGAAGATGGCTCTATTCTGGGTTGTAGCGCCAAGTAGTCTACTAGACGTTTACCAATATTTCAGAGGTCCTTCATGCCTCCATCAGGGCAATTAATGCCTGATGATGGAGGCAGCAAGGACCTCTGAAACGCTGATAAACTTCTACCAGACTATACAGCGCAACCCACAGGAAGCTATCTTTGGACTCACCGCCATGAAAGCCTCAAATCCTACTACATCAAATATATATCATGACACAATATTTTTCCAAGATCCATTATAATATTATCCCCTCACCTCTACCCACACCTTCCAAGTGATCTTTTCTCTTAAGGTTTTCACTGTTCATCTCTCAAGCATGCATGCATGCCTTAGCCAACCCATCCTCCTCCATTTAATCATCCCAACAATATTTTGAGAAGAATACAGATCATAAAAGTAAAGCTGTCCCACTATACGCCATGTAGGCGCTTGGGGGGAGTGAAAGTATAGCTCCTACTCATTCTTGACCTTGGCACTAGATGGGAGTGAGTGGTCAGCATCACGCCCCGGCCGGCTTTACCCCCGGGAAAGGACCCCAGTACCCATTGGATAGGAGGCTGGGTGGGCCCCAGAGCTGGTCTGGACACAGAGGCTAGAGGAAAAATCCTCTGCCCCCGTCGGGGATCGAACCCCGGTCGCCCAGTCAGTAGCCAGTCACTATACTGACTGAGCTACGCCGGCTCACGAATACAAATCATGGATTTCCTAATTAAGCAGTTTTCTCCACATTTCTGTTACTTCTTTCACCATACATCAAAATTTCCCTCTCAACAACCTGTTCTCAAACTCTGTGTTCTTTTCTTAGGATGCAAACAACAGATAAATTAGTAGTTTTATATACTTTTAATTTTTCAATTTTTAAGTAGGAGATGAAAGGATGAAAGCAACATGCTACTGCCAAATTAATCTCTTCTTAACTTCTTAATCAATATAATTCTGATTTGTTACTATCAATCTAGGAGATGCCAACTATGAATAATATTTTTACTTTGTCGAGACAATAACATCCAAATCCAATGAAAGGTTGCAATCAGTCAATATATAACAAAAGTTCTTAAGTATGAATTTTGGTTGTTTGAAACATGGCTAAGTCTCCTAAACATTTCAGATCACAGTTCATAAAGGTGCTCTAATATACAAAACATAATAATAATAAGCATATTTTGATTCCTCTTCCTATTTGGGTTCTAATGAACACTAAAACGATTGAAAAATTGCTGTACAACATGTGAACAATACCTGGCTCTGCTGTGCAAGTGAGCTAGATACATACTCTGCTGGTAATTCTCCATCTGTTTTCTGACTTGCTGATGTTGGTCTGAAAATTGGTAAAAGGGTTTAACTGAGAGATTAAATACAACACACACTATCAACAAAATCACAGAAATAAAACAAATAAATTATTTGTGAAATAAAGTATGCTTATAATAAAATTCTCCTTGCTTTACCACATATTTAAAACACAGACACACAAACTAAAGAACACTGTATGCATACATGTAATTCTGACTCACTTGTTAAGGATCTCGTAACAAGCTTCACAGACCCGCACCTCTTTCTCAATACCAAACTTGGGTAGTGTAGACGTCTTGGAGGAACAGTGTCCACAAAAAACCTGACCACATGCTCGGCAGTGGTGCTACATTGGAAAAAGGAATATGATGCTTATATATACAAGTGCCTAATGACAGACATCTGTAAACTAATCAGAACTGGTGGTTCATAATTCACAAAAAAATTATTTAGACTTTAAATTAATCTTGGTAACACAAAACTAAAGACAGCAAAATCTGATTACCAAATCTTTCTAAAAATCTTCACACAATATACACAGACATTTGCAAAGGTAGTTATGTCTGTTTCTCAAAAGGATCTCTTAACATCTTTTAATTTGTTAAAGCTAATCTCAAATGAAATAGATATGAAAAAACTGAACACACAATGAATGATTTTAACACACAGAAACTTAAAGATTACTAACTTAATCAGTGTCAGAGATCACTGGATGGTTAAAATAATCTTCCTTCTCTTATAATACAGAGAAACAGAAATCATGGAATGATAAAGTGGTTTCCATGCCCTTTTTATTTCATAGAGTAGGCAAGAAGTTAAGATTAACATAATGTGATCAAAAGCTACACAACTGATGCATGCACATATAAAAGATAACTCTAAGAACAATTACAAAATGCATTGTTGTGGTTGGCTGCAGTCCTACTAAACGAGATAACAATGTCATATTGAATTATTTTCTGTGGAATCTCAACAGACAGCAAAAAGTATTTTACATTCAAAAGAAAACAATTAGAGACATCTGCAATATAAGTACAACATATAAGAATTAAGCTATTCAGTATCTTCCCCCATTATAAAAAGTCTGATTCACAATATATATAGAAGTTTAAGCTTGAACTAAAGAGTATCTCCTACCTCACTCCTACTCCACAGAAGAATTTACCTAAACCAAAAATTCTCAGCTATTACAAATACATGTAAGCAATAGTGGTTATACTTTCTTGTGTAATTATTTTTGTGGCAATACTGTAATTGACTGTAAATCAGTCATACCTATGTAATTTTATATTTGTATTAGAAACAAGCATTGTATTTGTGCTATGACATGTTCTACATCCTTGGCTCAGACCTGTGAACAATCTATGGAATGTAAATAAATTCTGTTCCATTGTAATGACTTTACCTTACGCTGCATCATGCCAAACTGGACTCTACATCGATGACAAACATCTCCATCAGCCCACTCTGGTGCTGTATCTGCAGAGAACATTGCATCACTCTCCTTTAGTACTGGAAACTTGCAGCCCTCAGTCTTCATGATGTTCACAGTGTCCTGTAATAAGAACAACTTGTAATACTGTTGCAGAGGCAAATCATTCATGCTGCAAACTTCACACATAATATTTCACAGACTATCAGTTCATTCATTCTGTGATTTTTTTAAAAAGTTAAAGTAGAATGTATTTTCCCAACAACCTTCCATTCTCTGTATATAATGACATACTATGAAGTAGGAGTGCTAATCACTGAGCCACAGCATTCTGTGTTAATGTTGCATGCACCAAATAATGGCTGCATGATTATAAGTAGTTCAAACAGTCCTGTTCTCAGCCACATTTCACCATTCAAGTCCTGTATTTTTCATCATCCCTTATAAAATCCTTTTGCCAGCTTCCTATTTGTTTACACCATCATAAGAATCACATTTAAGACTGTTGCATGCATTTTATTGGACATTTCAGTTGATTGATCAGCACATATGCATTGTATTTGTGGTCCCAGGTCTGATTCTTTGGCCAAAGGCCTTACAGGTTTTCTTGTATTTACATTTTCTGTTTTCACTTCTCTCCTTACACATACCAAACATTTCCAAAAGCATATGGCATGTACAGTTTGACTAGTTTTATATGTGATATATCCCAGGTTCGAATCTTGACGTGGAAACTGGCTAACCTGATTAAGAGTCTTCGTGGTTTCCTCTGTCTCTCCATGAAAATGCTAGAATAGTACTTAAATTAGGCCTCAACTGCTTTCTTCCATATCCTTTCCAATTCATTATTCATTAACCATCCCATCATCTGAAGCACATAGTCTGAGCTATTGACAATTTTGTTAAATAAACCACAAATAAATACAGTATTATAACATTAAAATTGATGCTGTGTGTAATAACAGCTGTCTTAAAGTTGCAATAATGTACTGTCCTACCTGGACTGCTCTGTATTTAGGACTGTTGCGGAAAGCATAGGCCCAAGCCTGAATCAGCTCTAACACCTTGTTCTTCACATCATCATGGGAAGTTGATTTAACCAGGTCACGCAGTTGCTCCATGTATTGTTTTGTTCCAATCTCATCATGTATGAGGTTCCCACAGTTCTTGACACATGACTCAAGTACCTGCAGACATTATTAGTAACTGTTTCATAATGCATATATAAAAAAGCAAAAAAAAATAAAGCCGCCCCACTACACACTATGCAGGCACTTCAGGGGAGAGACAGTATATCTCCTACTCATTCTTAAATTAAGCATTAGATGAGGGTCAGTGGTCAACATCACACCCCGGCCGTGTTTTACCCCTGGGGAAAGGACACCAGTACCCATTGGACAGGAAGCTGGGTAGGCCCTAGAGGTAATCTAGACATACAGGCTTAAAGAAAAAAAATCCTCTGCCCCTGTTAGGGATTGAACCCTGATTGTCCAGTTCATAGTCAGTGATTATAATGACTGAACTACCCCAGCCCCTCATAATGTAAAAATAACCAATATAAAATTGTGAAAAATTAGGGATTTTTATGTAGTATAAAGTAAGTACACAAACAGATATTCACTTTACAAAAGAAAATTGTTAGATTAATAGCTGGTGTCAAACCTAGAAATGTGTTCATGAAATGAAATGTGTAGAAATTGCCTGGTGGAAGGCTTTGGTTAATTCGGTGATGAACCTTCGGGTTCGGTAAGCCATCTAGTTAGTTAGTTAGTTAGTCAAACCTAGAAATTCATGAAGAAGTCTATTTAAGAGATTTAGAGATCTTAGCAATTCCTTGTGAATACATATTCTATAACCAAGAACTTTTTCAAACTAATTCTGCTGTAGACAATGTCAACACAAGGAATAAAAGTCAGCTTCATGAACCAGTTGCCAACCTCTCATGCTTTCAGAAGAGTGCATATTATGCAGGGATCAAAGTTTTCAACAGTCTACCATCAAGTCTCACAAGTCTTGTAAATAAAAAGTCACAATTTAAGGTAGGATTAAAAAGATACTTAATTACACACTCCTTTTACTCTGTCACTAAATTTGTTTACAAATAAGTGATAATTTATCTTCTGTATGTAATGGGTAGATTTATTTGTAACTTATCATTACTTTAGGTGAACCATTTGTTTGTATTATGTGAAATTTATATAACAGTATGAATTGTACTTTATAATATGTATTGTATTATTATTATTATTATTATGACTTTTTCCACATCTTATTGTCATCTGACTATCTTATGGATCCATGGAATGTAATAAAATATGCATGTATGTATGTAACCCTCAAGAAAATAATTTTAACTGTAAATGAAATCCTAATTGAAAGGTTAATGGGTTAGGGAGCTATTCTGCATATGTAGCTATTGTCCATATTTATATTAACTATCAGCATTTTACCAACAAATATTATATTGTAGCATATCCCTAGTAATAATAAATCTCTCTCTTGATGTCTTACCTGTAATCCAAACATGGCAATGTGTGGATTTGCATTGTACAGCTTTTTCTTAATAGCAATCAGGGCATATTTAGATCTGAAAATTAAGTGATAGAAAAATACATTTTTTTTTTCATGTAACTTTTTAAAGGTTTGTATCTTAAGTGCGTACTAAAACAGCTTTAACTGTTTAGACAGTAACTGAAAATACACTTACTGAACATCCCCCTGTCGTATAAGGTCACATATTTGAAGGATTGCTGGCCAGTCTGGTTCCAAACGTAGGTTACTGGTTGCTTTATCTATAAACAAATAATATTCTTGTTTAGGTATATTAATGTGAAATGCAACACAATTGTAATTTTAACAGTTATGGCTAAACAAGACTGATAATAATATTCCAACTTCCTAAGTAACAACTTTGGATACGAAGATTTTGATCGCATACATGAGAAACGTCTTCGAGAATAATAACCTTATATATTCATATCAGTTCACCCTAACATCAACCCAACTTGCATAAATCTTAAAAAAAGCACCAAATTCATTCAATAATATACCGTCCAAACAATACATGGTTAAAGAACAGTACTTGCCCAAAAGTTTATCAAAACTAGATGTTGATCGAAACATTTCCAAATTCTGATGTATTCTCTTATTCTCAAACACCGACCAAAAACAACTTCCAACAGCTGACAATGACTAATGGCATCAAGTCACAGAAATATAAGCAACGTCACACGTTTGTCTATCTGTGCTTCATATTTTGCTTCCATAAATTTTTCATCTAGACGAGTATGTAACAGGTAGCTAAACCTATGAACACTTTATGTTCCCTACAGGGATTTTACTTAATTCAATACTGCATTTATTTACCGCAGATTAAATATTTTAAGCGATAACCAATAAGCAGTATGACGTTACAAACGGAGACCCCAAAGAACTGTACTCATTGCCACAGATATAGTTTATCTGTATTTATAGGAAGTTAATTTTTTGATTGCACTGTATTGCCATTGGGGCTGCCAGAGGACGGCCACCATATTGCAAAACTAAACATGGCTTATATCCGGTTCTTACGATATGAAAAGAGGTATATACTACCCAGTGCAATTGTTTGGAGTATCGGTGTTTTCATACACATTGGAATCCGAACCTGTTTCTGAGAACAACGATATTTTCATATACTTTGTTAGAATCGAACTGGATTTACCGCCATGACGTAAATACCAGCCGCCATATTCCAATTAGTTTCTGAAACAACTGACAGATTGCAGTTGTCCTTTAACAAACCAGTAAATAATTGGTACGATATTCTAATCTAATGGAACAACAGCCATATTGTAAATCAATGATGCATAAATCCAATGACATATTTTAACTGTTCTATGAGTAATATATTTATAAATAAACATCTCTAGATTTTTTATTTGTAATCTGATGCTTTCCGGATTTATATCCGATCACTAAACGTTTACGCATACATCTGTGATGTTTAAATTAGGAGCTCTCCCCCCTCCCCCCATACACACACACATATACATATAAATATTTGTTTATAAACACAAGTTAAAGAAAGATAGACGGCCGCCATGTTGCAAAAATCAAATTCGTCTTGTATCCAGTTATTAGGATTTCAGTGGAGGTATGCACCATGCAATACTGTAATTTGGAATACCACTACTTTCATACTCATGTAGAACCGGATCATCAAGACTGGAACATCAATATTTTCATATGCTGTTAGAATCGTTAGTACCTTGCCACCATGACGGTACGTCATACTGGCCGCCACACTCATATTAGTTTACGAAACAATCGACAGATCGCATAAGCTAACTATATACAATGGACACGGCCACCAGGAAATATTGTTTGAAGTAACATTTTCATACATAACTATCCAAATCGGAATTGACAGTACGTAACAAGCCATATTTAGATTACTTCATGAAACAACCGACATTACTTGCACAAGACCATAAACGCCAACTAGTATTAAAACAAGAAAAATTTAACTCTTGTAGCCGGCTCTTATGAATTTGGAAGAGGTGTACCACTTCCCTGGGTTGTTTAGAACCCGAATATTTTCATAAGCGGAAGTTTAGTAACAGCCATGACAGTATGAATCATGGGATGGAAATATGCCACATATTGACAAAAGTATCACATATTTGTTTCCCACCTAATTTTGTTTGCTCTATTAGGCACTTGTAATGAGATTGACTTAAAACTATACACAAATTAAAGCAAGTTTATTGGAAGCTAGAAGAAAAAAAAACATTAGCTAAGTCACCTGAAGCTGTCACGTTTATGATATTCGAAGTCGGCAAGAAATAAAAAGGACATTGACAAAAAAAGAAAAAGATCCGATAAACTCAGGGAATACTTGTTACCATTTAAGGCAGAAACTTTCATCTCTAAGTGTATCTAGAAACATAAATATTATAAGTAAAATTAATCTTACCTGCTTTATATGGATTTCTCCCATGAAGGAAACGAATATTTCAGTCATAAGTGGAAGATGGTGCTCAGAGGCTGCATTGAATAGTTGCTCATGACCTTTGAGTAATAAATTTTATGGAACTAAATACCTATAGAACCTTGAAAAATTCATTCATAAATGGATTTATCTGCCCCAAATTAATAACTTTTTTTAAATCTTTAACTGTCATGTGGGGCTACATATATAAGATTCAAATGTCATACAATAAAGGCTAATGAAATAAATAACATACCAATAAGACCCAAATTAGTGTATCAATTGTGTATTTTCCATACATGTTTTCTGACTTCATGTTATAACCATTCCAAGTTAAGACCCTCGTTCACATTCAACAATCAACTTTGGATCTTATAACCATGTAAGTTACCTTTCCAAAATTACATAACATAATTTTTATTTATATGTAGATGGGCATCAGTTCTTCATACCACATCATATAGGTCATTGTTGCATTAATGTGATCTGGAGTCATTGCTGCACTAATGTCATCTGAGGTCACTGCTATGCAACAATGCTCCAACAATGACCTGTTTCTATTATTGTCCAAAATGTGTTCCAACAGTGGGACTTAACTTCCCATTGTGACATAACTGTGTTCCAACAATGGAACTTCAGGTCCCATCATTATGCAACAATGACCTCTGGTCACACAGGTTGCCTTTAAGGTGTTCTTCATGCATGGTAGAATATGAAGAACAATAAAAAAGGGCAGAAGGAAGACTTAAATATTCATATTTATTGCTATAAAAATAGTATGTCCACTAGACCTAGAGCAGTCTTGTTACTTACACACTTTACGGTGAACAGAAAGTTCTGAGACAATCACTTTCAATTTCGTTCCTTGTAGTTGTTATATAAATTAATACATAATCTTATAAAGGGGAAAGGCACTCACACAGAATGACTGGAGAGTTTCTGAAATTGTTGTCATTAATTAAATCTTAAGATTATATATTACATATGAATTCACAAGCAAATGAAATATAACTACTAACTCATAGAAAACTCATACAAATTGATCTGAAAGCAGGATGATGAAAAATTCCTAGGGATACAAAACAAATCTACTTCAGCTTACTATATGTTACCTATACTATATACAAGTAAAAGTTTACTTTATATTGGTTTCCTAAAGATTGTTTTGGTGACATGTCAATGTGTGTATATAAGGTTTATACAACTTGTACATATTACCTGTAGTAAGTGCCAGTGAATGACAGTTTTCTAAACAAAACATGTATGTTTTAAAAAATTTCACCTAAGTATATATCTTATTTCTATGGACAATTATTTTATAAAATTACTCCATCTGTCTTTAGGTGCTTGTACATATTTAATTTAAATTTAATTGTGACTTTTTTTAAATTAATTTCTTATGCCATAGGTTATGTATCGAAACACCAAAGGCTAATGTTGCATAGATTAAGTTCCAAATTGAACCTTCATTTTGAGATTCCATTGCAACAAGAATCATCCACCTTTGATAGCTAAACATTTTATATGAAGTGTCAGTTATACCATAATTATAAGTCACAATTTCATGACTGCTTCTAGATTCCTTCTGTAAGAGACTAAATAAAGCATGCATCACGTCTTTCGTTATTCTGAAATATTCTATGCGTATGTTGTCAATATAGGCAATGACAACTGCATCTAACAAAACAACAAGCATGCTTATGATGTTCTTTCTCAACAAGTGAATAGTCAACCAGAATATAGCTGGGCACATTATGAATATAACGTCTGAGTTTTGTTTATTCTGAAACTAAATTTAGCTTAAGCAATGCTGAATGTTATAATTACACAAAACTTTTCTTTTCAACATGCAATCACAATCAAAATCACAGCATGGTTTGAGTTGTAGCTCTGGCAAAATGGAAGCTAAAGTTTAACTTTTGTAACAGATAGTATATTACAGGCCTATTCCTCTCCAGATCTTCTTTGTAGTTTCAATTTTTATTTCACTTTTCACTTTATACTTTCAACTGAGGATGTACTGTCATACTGATTTCATGATAAAGATTAAGTCCCTTACTATCATATGTAAACAGCATTCAGTTCATTTATCTCTTTGAAGAGTCCAGTCTTTTTACTATTATGAATTGCATTCTGTGCAAATTCAAATAAGATGATTTGCTGTCTCTTTCACAGTTTATAATATTCATTGTTCTTTTTTTGTCACTTGTGTATTATATGTAACAAATCACAGCTCTTCAGTGTATTACTTCTAAAGTTTTTACTGACATTTATGTTTGTATACAGTTTTAAAACCAGTATATTTAACCTTTATTGTTTTTGCACCTCATAGTATGCACAGTCCAACATGCATTGCACTACCAAACACTACTGAACAGTTAAACATGAAATAAAAGTTTGGTTGGCAGATCCGTAGTATGGGGGTTGAAATAACCTTCTCCTGTACAATAAAGGTTACAGTCTTTGGTTGATATTTAACATTCAGCTGCATCTGAAGGATATACTCAACAGTTGTTGAGGAGTTCTTGGTATCGAGATTGACAAGTAGTGATCTATCCAGGAAACAAATAATGAATTACAGAGAAATCTTTTATGCGACTAATCAGTGAAATGTGTGGATAAAGCTGATATCTCACTGGTATTTCCAATCTGACATACTATAAGTGAAGACAGCTTATGGGACACAAACCAAACAGATGAAACCATTGTGCTAGTGATGAGCTCCAGATGCCTCCAGGGCTTTGTTCAGGAAAGATATCATTGTTACATCACATTTTCTACTGCATTGAGCTGCAGACTGATTTATGATTGTATTCTGGAGATGACGTAGCCACCACAGCATGGCCGACCACTGCAGTATTCCTGCATGTATTTGTTTAAGAGATCACTAACTTCAACTGTTACAATACATAACACTAATTTAAAACATGTTATCTCATATAATCTTATGAAAACTGTTCCATTATAACTATCCAGAAATATTCACTATATTGTACAGTTGCTGAAGTTTGTATTCAGCAGATTATGGTCATCATTATGTTATGGAGGATGTATCATACCGATGGCAATGAATAAGTCAAAGTCACATTTCTTAATTGAGCTATGACAGTGTTGAAAGTTAATAACCATCACAGTGGTATAGATGGAACTCATATTAAAGGCAATGCCCCATGGTAACAGACAACAGCATGTACTGATGCACTGTGGGTTTTGATTGTCAGGAAACTTAATTATTTCTGAGATGTAATTTGATCATGAACCACACATGTTCAATAATGTACTAGAGACAGTATTCAGGTACCCTTACAGTTATCAGTGTGATGATGATGATGATGATGATGATAATGAGGTGTCATCCTGACAGTAGTGGTCCACAGGAACAGCCCACAAATGTGTATTTAGTTGTGAATTGGCTTGAGGACTTTGCTCAGGCGATGAGATATCTGATGCTCGGACGTGTACAAGGCTGGCAGGAGCTGAATACAAACTGCTCACTGTGTTACTCAGTTGCCGTACAACTGTGTGGAAAACAAAACATTATTAAGGCAATTAAGCACATTAAATAAACCTTGCGTTAAAACTGAAATTATACGAGGTTTTATGCCAGTTAAGGTGACATTTGGAAAGAAACAATACCTACTATATAATATCAGTTAAATATTCAAGCATAAGGTTGGGTTAAGCAGCTACTTAGATTTATTGTCCATAAATTGATTTATTCCATTAAATAAATTTTCTATGTCAAAATAATCAGGATGAGAAATTTCATATGAATATTCTCACTTGTGCTGTGTGTTTCTTAAGACAGCATATTTTAAGAATCCTTTCTGTCCAGAATTATTCTCCATTTATACAATAACTAGATTACAGCCCTTAACAAACAACACAAGAAGTATACAGCTCACTTAAAAGCACTGGATTTGATGTCTTAGAGATGGAAAAAATATGTTCCACAATCTTTCAAGAGCCAACAGCTCCTTAACACAGAGCTCATAGAATAAAGTCTTCTCATCAGATCAGCCATGTGTGAGAATGGAGTTCCTTGACTCTCACATGGCTGAGTGCATTCAGCCACCAAGTCTCAAATTTAAATAGATATTACACATAATACATTATGATAAACATATAACAGAAAGAAGATCCCTTTACATAAAAACAGCAAGGAAAGAGGTAATGCACATTCTCAAGCATTTGAAAAATACTGAGTGTACAACAATGGAGACCAAAACACACACGCATTACTTACACCAATTGGACTGGACTGACATCTACATAGACATGAGATTTGGTTCCTCAGAAGTGACCATATTGCTCATAGCATTTGGCTCGCTGGTAACCCGTCTTAACCCCATCCCATGCTGCCCATCTGATGACTCGGCTACAGCACAAAACACACAACATTCACATCAAAACAACACACACAAAACAAGGGACATCACACAATCTTGGATCTGTTCAGAGGTTATATCAATGTCAATGCTGAATGCTCCAGTCTGGTTGCCACACAACTTAAATTGGGATATAAAAGCATGTTGTCTCTTCTCCATTCAATAAAACAGTAATATTTTCAATAATTTTCTTGCTTTGCATACAGATTATCTTCATATACACCAGAACATAAACTCCAAGGACACAGATCATCAGGTGGTAAAAACACATATTTTGTTGCTTCACTACAGGCACCAGTCTGAGCTTTCACATATGCGTTGCAATGAAGGAGCAACAGGGAGAATACAGTTCTACATTACTACCAGGTTATGCAGTCTGAATCACTTAGCTGATACCTGTATTGCGTACTGTAGTAGTATACTTCCTTCATGGAAGATATAAAATTGCGGAATGTGGTAAATAGTATGGTTTTCTGTGACGATGGAAAATTAGTCTGGTTGTTTTTAAAACTGAATATTATTAATAGCTTTTTTAAAATTCCACAGATCAGTTTATATGAGTTTGATAAAAGTCTTATTAAATATTTGTTGGAAATTCCATATTCAAGTAGAAATTTAATAGAAAAGCTAAAGCTAGCAACAAATGGTGACTGAACTACAATACGGCTGTTCAGTAGTGATTTGAGTAAGTTACGTAAGTTACCTGGATTGGGTGAAGCTGATTGTTCCAGGTCTTGTTGAAGTTGATAGAAGTGCTCAAGATCCCTCGCACTACACAGTGGTGTATCCACGAGGTCTGTGTTGTTGAAGCGACTGTAATCAACCTCATATCCTTGTCGTTCCTTGTTGTACACAAGCATAGGCTGAAATCGATGACCCCAAAGCACTTCATTTGGAAGATAAGATGATCTTGCTTGTGTAGTCTGACCAGTTGACTCTATAGTTCCTATATAATATAAAGCAATGGAATTTAAATAATTTTAGGATATTATTGCTAACAGCTACATTGTCCTTAGAATTTGTTTTATTACTTATGTATGGTCATAAAGGCAGAATGTTAATTATTTTATATTGATTTAAGATGAAAGTTATTCATAAAATATGCAGTAAAAGGGCTACTCAAATAACAAACTACCATTGTTTTAAGCAGCTTAAAGAATATAGCATATTACCTAATATTATGAGAGTCAGTTTAATTAATGCAAAATTTTGCTTTTTTAAAAAGTTCCATTTAATTTGATTGATGTGAAGAATTTTTCTATCCATAGTTTTAAATGAATAATTGGCTTCACTACATTCTGTTTCCAACAGCACTCTTGAAATTCCCAATTAGCCTGTAGTCTCAGTATTTACACTTACAAAGTTGCAGTTTTATTAGAATTTTTGCTTTTACTATTGTTAAACACATTCAAAGCATTTGCTGTTCTCTGCTTTTAAGCACTTTTCAACAAAACCATCATTGGCCATTCTCCATCAGCTTCATATCACCACAATAACACAGAAAAATTAAAACTGCTAACCGAATACCCAAAGAAAAAATGAAGGGAACAGCTAGATCTAGTGGATTAGGAACAGACAATTGAGGTCTTCCATAATTCATAATCATGATGATACTTTTAAATGATACCAAAATTCAGACTGTCACAAATCTTAATTTTAGCCCCTCAGATTGCCTAAATTTACCTGTAGTGGAGGGTCTAAGTGTTTTAATTACGTACTCAACAATGCTATTTACATTTTTATAGTAAATTTTCAGATACAAAACAAAATTGAATTTTACATAGTTTATTTACTGAGCAATTCTTGTACTTCATCTTACCACAAGCAAATACAAAATGACTGCCAGGAGAAATTGCTATTAGTAATTGTTATTGCTAGTAAATGTCTGTTGCATGTTCATAAATTGTACAATTTATCTGCTACATTAAAGGTGATGTTTCCCTTAAAATACCAATGGATCACTTCCACACACTTACCTTCCAGAATAACAACAACTTCAAAGCGAGATTCACGGTCAATTATGTCACTGGCCGAAATGTTATAAAGTGGACTTTCACAGTTGATTCTGTGGACAACAGTCATTGGCCAGATGAAGAATAGATTGTTGTCACCACCGTCAGTACCTATGTTGAGTTCTGTCTGGTGCTGGTGCAAAACCTCTCCTTCCTTGGTTGTACGGGTGCGAATCAGCTGTGCCCTGATTGTTGCACCAATGATGTGAGACTTGCGCATGTCTCCAACACGGAACATGAGACAGAGTTCTCCGTCTCGTAAACACACAACAGCATTGCGGCTGAAAAGAAGTGTCTGAGCACGTTGTTTGGGGCGTGCCATTTTAGCAAACACGATGCCCACCATGAAGGCCTGAATCATAACACCTGTAATACTTTGTAGGCACATGACAAAGACAGCTTCAGGACACTCCTCAGTAGTTGACCGTGAACCGTACCTGCAGATACAAAGGTTTTATGTCTTCATCACTCAGAGATAACCGAGGTATTTATAAACTTAATTTTCACAACTATTCTATAAAATTTAGATTTGAATTACCATCTATGAAATCTGTGGTTGAAAGAGAGATCTACTATTTAAATTTAGGATTTCCTCAGTATGTGTTATTTAATCTCATAGGATTGCTGTTAAGTTGAATAGTGATTCTCATTATTTTCTTATGACTAATAAGTCACATTTATTGTTGCCTTCTTTGTATAAGAAAATTTTAATGGAACTTATAAAACTTACAAAACTCTAATAATGTAGTAACTCACTGCTAACAACACATTTGAATCATTCCAAGATTTTGGTTTTTGGCACTGGCAAACAGCTTTTTTTGTCACCCATTTTAAGTTTCAGAATAATGATTTAATTCCTCAGATTTTCCAGTCCAGTGTTGCATAATACAAAAACATATATTTTAAAATACTTTCTGAAACTTTGCTTCAAGGGAATGAAGGAAATGAGTAAAATTCCAGTTATTGAATCAAGAATGTGTGAGAATCAAACATATCTTCATCTCCAAATACAAGACAGATGTACCAGATTTCAGATTGATGTAATAAGTTATTTACATTTCAATAAAATCTTCTCGGGCGATCAGTCGCGTCAACTGGTTACCATAGCAAACCAACGTTTCAGGAACCAACTCTGTCCCCATCATCAGGGTTGATTGCCCGAGAAGATTTTATTGATTGTACTCGCTGCGAAAGTCTCAAATCCTATATTATTTACATTTAGCTTTGAAGTTCACTCACTGAGATTATCAAAACATGTACATACCCAATGGTGTGCTGAGTTTCAATGCTGAAGAGAAAACAAGATGCAAAACTGTAGACTTCTTTGATACATGGTTTCCATCCTGACTCCTCCTGCTGATGTGGCAAATGTTCCAATTCAAAGTCCCCATGTGTAAACGCAATGAGCCACCAAAGAAGTGCAAATCCAAGCCAGCTAAGGATGAAGCTGAGGGCGAACACAAGAAGTGTCCACCGCCACTTAATGTCCACTAGGGTTGTAAATATATCTTGCAGATAGCGCAATCTGCGCTGTGCTACGCGGCTCTGCAGCACATTACATTCACCTGACTTGAGCACCACACGACGTCGCATCTTTGAACGCCCTGTACCACCATTTCGGTACCTGCTTCTGCAATATAATGTATCAAAAGACTAGAAATGCATTCACGTGCTCTATGTGTAAGACACAATACAGGATAATCTGATTTTGACTGATGTCCACAGAATATTATGATAGGATATTTTATTAACATTGCTGTCTTGTTTTCTTTTGTAGTGCAGTGTAGTCTGGTAGAAGTTTTCTGACGTTACAATGTCAATTGATGCCTCCATCATCAGGGTGACTGAACAAGTGGAAACAGGGCGAATGTTTATGATATTTGAGATTATAATACCGTGTTGACCTGTCCAACGTTTCGGAGGAACATACTGCTTCAAGGAAACCACACAGCTTCATAAGTTGCACACACTTCTGCTATTAATTCGTTCATTTATTAGGCGATAGATCCTGTTTCGTATTAGAATTAATTCTCATATAGAGAATTCTTTTGGCATGAGGTAGGACTCCCTGATTTAAGGATCAGCATATCGTAAGCTCTCTGCCACCACAACGCACAGCACGCGGAATTAGAACGTGATTCCAATTTTCATTGACAATACTACACGTGGATTAATTTGTCTGCGTTAGTAAATAACTTTTACACACTGTTTCGATTCCCTTTTGGTCGGAATGTTCGGGTCGAGTTGAATATTCTCATGTAACGCTCCCACATAACAAAATCATCACTCCTGTATCACAATTCATCATATCCGGCTCATACCTAATGTCACATGAATGTGAACAAAAGAATAAATAAAGAACAGTTTATCAAATAATATCAAAGCTAATAGTTTATACCACAATTTTGAGAGTCTGGAAATAATTGATCTCTGTAAAACACGATGCACTTATTTAAGTTTATTATAAGTTTTAAGCCAAAAAAATGCTTGTGTTTTGTTAATTCTGTGTATTCAGATTATTGTTAGCTAACACTATCCATAACAACGTAACCCACAAATCAAACACGTCCTCCACCTGGAACGGCAAATACTGCAGTCAGAATTATCTGCAGCTATGAGCAAATCTGCCCAGGAGGCAGGGATTTCCCTCAATAAAATCTTCTCGGGCGATCAGCCGCGTAAAATGGTCGAAAGACGAAATCGACGTTTCAGGAGCCATCTGTGTCCCCATCATCAGAACCCGAGAATATTTTATTGAGTTACACCGCCGCGGAAGCTTCAAATCAGGGATTTTCCTGTTCGACACCGCGTCCAGATCGGCTCCATCCAATTGTCACCACCGAAGAGCGAAGGTGAACAATCTTCTCCATCTAAAAACTGTGCATCAAATCAGAATGTCTCTAGCTGAAACTACTTCGTGTCTTGGTGCCTAAAAAGAACAAGGACAGCTTTACGTTTGCATTTTTTAGCTCACTAGTGATGCTTTGATTTCAAACGTCACTTTGTCCTAAAACAAGATGTCACAAAACAACAAAGTAGCTTAATTATTAGAAAGCTTCAGTAACAAAAATGGAGATGGAGCCTTTCCTAAAGCCGATTCTTGATTTCACACTTAAGCCTGCTATGTGTGCGTACGAAAAACGAAGCAGAATTACCGTTAAATGCATCTTATAATAAAATATATTCACATTTTGTGTTGTTTTGCTCGAGATCATGATTTATTTAACTTCTGAACACCCTGTCCCAGGACCGGAAATGGCCATCAGAGCAGAGATCCGGCAGACAGCTTCGACCTAAACCTCACGTGCTCTGCAAACGAATGAACGTAGAATGTCAATAAAAGGAGCCATGGGCTTTAAAAGAAGAATCCAGGTTACGATGAGGCTAATCAAAATCAGACCATCTAAAAATAGGGATATTAATGCATTTAGCTGCTGAGTGCTCCCAATTCGGCGGTCGCATTTCTTGACTAATCCGTATTTCCAACTGGAAATGTATGAACTAAGTTTACATTTACAAACATTTAAACGTTTGGTTAATAAATTAAAACAAACACACTCTTCTGTCGAGTACTGACTGACTTCCTTTCATAATTACTTAACTGTTCTACAGAACAGCGTGAAGGAAACAAACGTGACATTCCGGTGCTTGGACGACTTGTCCCCCGAGCCGACATTTTGACATTTTCTAGACCCTCACTTAACAGTAAGAAAATGAAGGGATATTTTAATAGCAGACGATAGGAGTTACTCAGAAAATTTATAAGCAGTGCTAAGCAGCATCTACCAAACTGAATGGTACTCCAGAATAGTTTTACGGCACGCACAAGGTTTCAGGGGCTCAGGAGGTTTAAAAAAAAGCGTAACAGCGAACGTCTTCAGCTCCACTATTAGTTTAAGGCACATTCACTAACCAAGATGATAATGGACTCTACCCCTCCGTTTATTTACTTGTTTTAAACAGAATTGGAAATATGCAGTCCTATATGAAGTAGCCTGTTTTTCAAAAGCTTTCTTTGTTGATCGCCATGTCCAAATATATTCTTCCGAAGATAATTTCACTGCAGACAGTCAACATTTATTTTCTTTTGTATTTCGTTAAATAGCCGTCAAATTAGAAAATGCTTCCAACAAAAGTCGTAGACCCTAGATCCTAATATAATTTCAGTTTCATATTATGCACCATCATTCTCCATTTTCTGCCTGACGAATCCACAATTTTTTTACTAGAAGTTGGTCCATATCAGACTGTGAACGTAACCGGCTACAATTCGACCTTCCGGGTATAATGAAACATTTACTATGCGCTAGGCTGTACCTTCTTGTAGAGGTGCTGGACTTGGAGCTAAAGTTGCGGGGGCGACCTCCCCAGGTGGAACTCGCGATGGCAGGAGCCGCGGAGAGGTGTCCTCCTAGTAACTGGTGGTGGTCATCCCCTAGCATTGAGTCCACAGGACTCCTCAACGAAGCAGAATCCACAGACACGTGATTCCCATCCCCCACGATATTGGTCGCGTCTCTGGCAAGTGACAACTCATTCCTGTTTCTGTCGAGTTCTTCCATACTTAACACATAGGTCGAGTCTGACATTTTGCTCGAGTGTTCTTCGCTCGGAGTCTTCGGCACCTCCTTGCTTGCAGACAATTCACTGCAATGCCAGCTGGTCAAGACAGAGCTGAGATTGTGTGGATTGTCGCTGGAAAAGTTATGCTTCAGTAAGGTAACTTCTTTTATGACAAATTGTAATGGTGTCGTGTCGGCGAAAACATTGATTCTTAGATGTTATTTCTGGAAGTGACGCAAATATTAATGCCAGCACCACAATACAATCGCAAGTAAAAACTTTTAAAATAATTATTTTTATCTTCGTTTGGAAATGTGACTCCTAATTTAACTTCACGGGCTACTGACTTAGACAAAATCCCAAACACTGTAGAAGCGATTATTATATTCCAGTTTCGGTTCCACGTCGAAATTCTTCTACCTCAAAGATACAGTACATTCAGTCACACAAAAGATCACTGCATCACAAAATCTGCAGTTACATACACACGAAGATCTTGTATTACATACGGACAAAACCGCGGATACCGGTTGCTTACATATATTAACTTCCATACATTCTTTACGTTTTCCTGAGGAAATGGTGTTTATGTTTCAGTAGTTCATCAGAAAGAAATAATTTAATTGAAAATTATATGCAAGCCTAACACGTAATGTCCATTTGTTTATCTTCAGAAGAAAATGACTGTCGCTTTCTTTAGGGTCAGAAAGAAAGTCTGTGGTTACGATACATCCTTGCTAAGCCGTAATTATTATTATTATACATTGGCACTGGAAGATAATGAATCACGACTTGATTTTTTTCTCGATGTATTAACAACCTGAGAGTTTGCTCCCGGTTTCTTGAATTTCACTAACGGTACTGTACAACGATATTAAAATATTCCGCACACATTTTCATACAGGCTTCAATTTCAATTACAAATCCCTTCGTACTCATGTGTTCGTATAATCGCAGAAATTCACCGAAGACTTTGTTCCTTCAGAGAATTATCTTGTGCTATTATTCTTCTTCAGGAAAGAAGTTTTATGAATTTCTTAGGATCCTGAGCTGTGTATTGTTACCACAGAACACCCGTCTGAAATTATCTTGTGCTATTATTCTTCTTCAGAAAAGAAGTTTCATGAATTCCTTAGGATCCTGAGCTGTGAATTGTTACTACAGAACACCCGTCTGAGATGAACGGGCACGACTGATCTAAATTTGTCTGTCCCCTTTATTTCTTCTACAAACAGAACTTGGCGTGGGCTAGTAAAAACAGACCCTCAACTACTCATCATATTCTTCGGGCTGTGTTTGCAGACCGCGGCCCAGTGTCCATGCAAAACTGAGGCGATATTGACAATAAGGAGCTGGTGCGACGACAGACAATGTGTGGGGGTTGCCTGCAGTCAATTGAGCGTTGTTGCTTTCTCAAGGATACGAACTTCACCGTGAGCTGTCGCCCTTGAAGATGATGACACTGTGCGACTTAATGCACACTTCTCTGCAACAATAAAGACGACGTTGAAGCATGAGGTGGATACAAACAGCGACGCCTTTTTGCCAAGAGATTCGGCTTTCGATTCTACTTAACACAATTATTAGCACTCACATTTCCCTTTTTGTTGGGTGGACTTATATAAACCAACTCCGTGGAGCAGAGTCAATCTTGAGAACAAGATAGTACCTCAGTCATGAAATTTACGGCCGTGTATAACATTTCGTAGCATTCTGTTTTCTTTCGACTATCAGCTGTTAGCCTCCTGCCCAAACCCTAAGCCTGAGGGTCACCCCTTTTCAGCTGTCCCGCGAGTGTTTATTGTATGCAGTTTCTTTCATCCTGAAAACGCACTGTGACAAGGAACCACCTGACCCGGATTGATTGAACGGAACCAACAATTTTAACTAAATTAAAAGACGCAGATTTCTCTGGAGTTTAAACAAAAATTAATATAAGCTGAAGTATTCGAAATGAGATTTTATTTCAGGTTTATTCAGTCTCAAAAAATATAAATAATTTAGGATTATTTCTCCTTCAGTCTAAAACGAACACAATCACAACAAGACTTGTATGTGACGAAGTGAGTCTACTATACCAGCTGAATGTAGAATTACTGAACATACAAACAGCACAGGAATAAGAGACGAGAGATTCAAATGTTTTTTTATGGTAATTATAACTAACTTGATATTAATTTTAAAAGTTAAAGAACTGACCTTCAACATAATTTTATAACCACTGAACGTTCACGTGTATTTCACATATTCCTGTGCAGCTTTCATGTCATCAGCAGAGAAAAATGAATACCAGAGTTCGTCTGAACGTGAACTATGATCCTGCAGCGGACATATTTATAATTGTAATTGTCGTCAGCAAGCAAAGGCTGGGTTGCTCAAGGTAACATTCTCTGGCAACGTATACGTCAGAGAAACAAGTTTTCCTGTCATCTTATGTCCTCGTCATTTACAACTTCAACAAACAAAGAACGTCCCTCAAAGAGCCCACCTGACTAGCGAGCTCAGCAGAAAAAATCAACAAATTAACAGCGATAACTTCATAGACGTGTACTCGGGAGATGCCCGTATCGAATTTCGGCCGAACTACCGGGTATTCTGATTTACAGGATTGAACCAAATACGGTTTAGTTTGTCTTAATTGTAGTAAGTGTAACTAAACTGACAACTCCATGTAACAGTCCTTCTTGCAAGGTTAATATTCACTCGGCTAGTCAAGAATTTTCCCGTAGTTAACGGAACTCTAAGGTTCATTACCGTGTCCACAACAGCCTTTCACTGGGCCTTATTCCGAGTCAGACGAATTCAATGTCCAAACTCACACCCTATCTCTTCAAGATATATGTTAATATTATCCGTCCCTCTCCACTTAGGTCTTTAAAGTTTTCTCTTCCCTTGAGGTTTCCCGACAAAAATACTGCATGCATTTCTCATCTTTTCATGCATACCGTTTTACCCACCATCCTAACATCTTTTATTTTATCGCCCTTATAATATTTAACGATGTGTACAATTTATGACAATCGTGCTATTTTTTCAAACAGCGCCCATGCAAATAGCATTAGCAGCAGACTGACCTTGAAGGTGTGATTTATAATAAATTTAGAATAGACTCTAAATATCCTAATAGGTATACGTACACTAACAAACTCAAATATGGAAAATAAATTAATTTTGTTTTTAAAAAGAACGAGGCATGTGGCACTTGGATGCTGTCGCTTGAAATAAAGTGCTGAAAGATTCAATCTATTTAACGTGTTTTCACAGATACGCCAACATAAGGAAGAAAACTGTCTCCCAACAGTTTCGTCGATGTAACGGAATTCCAGACAACAGATTCATCCTCAGGTATGGGCATCAGAGCTCATGTGTCGTGGAAAAGAATGAAGTAATGTATAATTTCAAATTCAAAATTTGTTAAGACCTGAGACAACACGTAGTCAATGTATTGATTCATGATCTTCTTACCAAACAGGAAGAATTAGTGACACTCTATCAACTATCAGGATTAGAAAGTGTTGACAGGTCTGTTTGCGACAATGGGTGAGACTTACAAAATCCAATGGAATGAATAACTTGGAAGAAAGTTCAGAGACACTCCGACATTCAAACTCATATAAGTGAAATGAGTATCTTTGACCTAGCAGCAAGGCCTTGGCGGTCTACAATACACAAGGAGGAACTTACAGAGGAATAGTTTTGTCAAATTAATAGAGTTCTTTAGCAACGGATGATTGTTTTAAAGGCATCTGCATAAAATAACATTATTCAAGTGTCATCAAATGGAAAATTTACTGGCTGGTTCATTCGGATGCATTCATCTTACTGATTTGGTTCATTAGCAGTTTTGTTTATTTCGTAATTTGGTGCAGCCATGTTAATTTAATACAAACCCAAGGCACGTAAAATTATCGTGGAATTGATTTTAAGAACACAAATATGAACTTACGTCATACTATAACCTCATTACAGCGTCATTTGGAGAATTAACATATGAACAAGCCATGCAAATACGCCATTTGTAACACTGGTCGAAAACAGAGATCATTAAGTTGATGGCGGACGACTACAAAACTGTTCAGACTACTGCGATATTTTATTACTCTGAAAAGTCCTCAAAGAATGACACTACAGCAATCGATCTATTACATTAAAACCATTTCCGAAGGTAGGGAAAAAAACAAGAGAGAGTGACTGAATACAGGCACAGACCTTATCTAGCGGTTCTCATCCCAATGAAATATTTCACCTTATATCCAGGATGTGGGCGGGGAACTACGACGACCGAGATGGAGAAGCCACACTGCGACTTCCAAGCGAAAAAAAACAGATAAGAGTTTTTCACTAAAAGCTGCTACATTTCCTTCAAAGGAAGCACAGAGTAAAGATTGTTGTCCTCTGGGTTGCTGAGCCGCGTAGTCTGGTATTTTCTTAGAAATTTACTGACGTTTCAGAGGTGCTTGCTGCCTCCACCATCGTCACCCTGACGATGGAGGCAGGAAGCTGGATATTCAGAACTATGTTTTCGAAAACAACTACTCCAGTCATGAGCTCGTCTTTCAGGTGTGATACAGCGAGTGCACAGAAATCTGCAGATAGCGACACCAACAATTTTATCAACTGCCAATATTTGTGCATCACTCGTCCTTCCCGCAAGCTTGGTCTGTGTAACCATGCCATCACGACCGCACTGTTTGCGGCGCTTCGACCATTACAGAAACGTGAGCTGCACACCAATATATTCATTCAGTCATTTAGTTTCATCACTACAATTTCGCAACTACCAGAGTTCAATTTATGACGAAGGCCTTCAACCATTTCGCAAGTCTCGAATTACATTAAGGTGCAATACATCGTGTTAAGCCAGGTACCGATGCCATCTTACTTGTCCCTGTATTAAGATCTCGGTTACTGATAAATACTTGCATTCCAGTTCAAATCAGTTTCCATCTTGGAGTTAGGCTAAATATTTTAAATGTCTTAAGAACAGATAGGGAAATATGAATGATAAGTAGGTAAGAATTTGAAATTATATTACTGTATGATTTGAGGTTTTCACAGCGGTGAGTATGAAGATTTCTGTCTTCTGGGTTCTTGCGGTGTATAGTCTGGTCGATGTTAACCAACGTTTCAGAGGTCATACTGCCTCCGTCATCAGGGCGATGA